ATCAGACTTAAACACTAACCTTTGACCTCTGTAGGTTTTGTACCATGTGTCAGACTTAAACACTAACCTTTGACCTCTGTAGGTTTTTGTATCATGTGTCAGACTTAAACACTAACCTTTGACCTCTGCAGGTGCTGTGGTCATGCTCGTGACGGAGGCAGCTGAAGACTCTCCACAGCTTTCAGCCACTCTCTGACCTGCACACATTGCCTTCAGAGTTTGAAAGACGGCTTGAGGAGCCACGTTCATTTTCAACAAGTCCACTATGATCCTGCAGGAGAGCAGAACAGAATCAGTTCATTTCTTCATGTCATGTTCACATTATATTTTCTTTTCTTGTTCATGCTCACTTAAAAACCTCCTGATCCAAAGTGACACCTGCAGCCTGCGTCAGTTCAAACAGCTCACTTTCTTCAGCACTGAGGACTTTTTTCTTCTTGATGGCATATTTCTGCACGTTTGATGTGACCACCAGGGCAGGAGAGTCAGGAGCGGGTCCCGTTTGTTGTGTTTGCTGAGACATCACTTAAAACAAATAAAACAAATAATCAGTCTGACCCGTGAAAAAATGACGACCTGTCCAGGGTGTACCACGAGCGTTACACTAACGGACTGGAACATAAAACTGGTGGCACTTTATCCCAAATTTAAAAGAACGACACTCTAAATATATGCGCACCTTCCTTCAAATTAATAACAAAGAACCACAAAACGCTTGACTGATTACATAAAAGCACTTAAAAACAATGTAAATTAGTAATTTTACCGTTAAAGCTGAATGTTTAGCGTGTAGAAATTCGCTTACGACCACAACTCTGCTTGCGATCGAGTCGCGCTAAAAGTACGTCATCATCAGCAGATCTTTGGCACAGAAAGATGACGTACTGCATGGCGCGCTGCCGTGCCGCCATATTGAATGGGTCAATTCAATGTAGGCAGCAGCAGAACGAGCGACCCTGCCCTTATTTGGTGCATTAATCTGCTCTCAGTTTTGAATGCAGATCACATGGGATTACATTTTGATAAGTCTGAGCAATAGTTTTGGTATTTGACATTTATAACATTATATTTAATATATACAAAACAACTCGGCAATAAATGAGATAAGTTAACTAATATCACATCGAAATAAGGATTAAGTCAAATTTGGTCAAAATTACCTCATGATATTTTCAGATTCCTGGCTTTAAAAGCTACATTTTGATACTTAGATTATCCTGATATCATTAGTAGATCCAGAGATATTATTTAATTTGTCTTGTTGATTACAATAATACATAAATATTTGGTCCAAATCCTAATTTTATGTAATTTTAATGAGGATTTTTTTTATGTCATTAAAAAAAAAACTCAAATAGTATTTGAATATTGAGATTTCCCAGCTGGAAAGAAACAAAAGCTTTGATAGCTCACAGAGAAAATCTCAACATTTTAAGGCGTTTTTCCTCAGAATCGGGGTTTTGGTTGCTAATGTATGACGAAGTATTAGGGCCACACTACGAGTTTTTTTTTTATTACGAGATTAAAGTCATAATATTATGAAAAAAGTCATAATATTACGAGATTAAAGTCGTAATATTACGAGAATAAAGTCATAATATTACGAGTTTAAAGTTGTAATATTACGAAAATAAAGTCATTATATTACAAGAATAAAGTCATAATATTTTGAAAATAAAGTCATAATAGATTACCGACAGGAAAAAGCAGACTGTGTTAAAATGAGGAATGTTGAGCATCTTGTGAAGTTGTACTTTGGTATAGGTTTTACAAATAAGGAAATACTTAATCTGTTAGCACATCAGCATCAAATTATTATCAGTATCACGACTTTGAAACGATTCTGCAGACGACTGGTCTATTTCGAAGAAGGAACCACACTCGTAATGTTATGACTTTATTCTCATAATATTACGACTTTATTCTCGTAATGTTACAACATCCATCCATCCATTTTCTTCYGCCTATCCGGGGTCGGGTCGCGGGGGCAGCAGCTTCAGAAGGGAGGCCCAGACCTCCCTCTCTCCAGCCACTTCTTCCAGGTCCTCCGGGGGAACTCCAAGGTGTTTCCAGGCCAGCCGAGAGACATAGTCCCTCCAGCGTGTCCTGGGTCTTCCTCGGGGCCTCCTCCCGGTGGGACGTGCCCGGAACACCTCACCAGGGAGG